CTCAATTCCAGAATGCTGACACTTTGCCTAAACCTTAAAAAACAGAGAACTACTTTGAGCATGCAATCAGTAACATCTCCATTCAAGAAACTAGCGTGGCAGGATGCCCTCTGCTGTGGATTATTTAGGGCTGCCACCTTTGAACCTGAGAGAGCATGGCATGAACGTCCATTTCATTAGTTTAATTACATTTTAACTTGCACTTATCCTGTGCTTTGTAGAAGGAGCTCAGGATGGTACGCATCGTTTTCCCCCAAGCTTGTAGGTTCTCCCAGGTTCATGAGACTGGTTGTACGTTAGGCTGGGAATAAATGAGTGACCCAGGATCACCCAGAGAGTAGCATGGCTAAGTGCAAGCTTGAACCTGGGTCTGTCTTGTTCCTTGTTCTTAGGAATAAAGACAGAATTGGGCAACTGCTTGAGCCTCATAGTCATTACTTATCCCTTCCTTATTATTTTTAAGCAGTTAAGAATTGGCTGCATATTATCTGACATAGCATTTGAGAGTAGATATGACCAAGAATAAAACATCCCCTATCATCATCATTATGAGCATATTTTATCCATTTATTTCTAGCATATTTGCTGTTGGGTTTTGTGTTTTCATACTATCCCTCCCTCACACCAATTTATATGTTTTTGAAACTGAGAATAGGATTGATCTGGTTTTGGACCCACCCAGAATATATGTCTGTAATAAATGTGTTACTAATTTTGGACAGGGGAAAAAAATGAAACCTACAAATGGGTAAAAACAACCTAGGAACTGCTTGCCTTCTCCTAAATAGGCTGTTGACATGCTTTCGTCAGCTTCGACTGGTAAAACAGATAGAAGAGGAAGAAGCTGGAAGTGTGGTCAGGAGGAAGGCAGGAGGGAATATTAAAAGAAAACTATCCAGATGTGGAAATATGTAGAATTTTAGGAAGTCTAAAACATGAAGCCCAATCTTCTTCAGACTTCCCAGTTCTTCCTTGTCTTCTAACATGACTCTAGGCCTGCCATTTGGAGCTCTGCGTCAAAATGTAGAAATTTGGGCTGTGGTTTGTCACACACAGAGACACACACACTCTCTCTCTCTCTTTCTGGTGACCTACAATTCTTTCTTACTTCTGCTTTTCTTTTTCTTTTTTTAACACCAAAACTGCTGAATGAAGCTCTCAAGGGCAGATGCTAGAAAAACATAGAAGTGAACAGAAAAAACCAAGAAGGTGTTAGAAAAACAGAAAAGTGAACTGAGAGGTAGTCAGAATTTTTTGTGCTCTGTGTTTTTTGTTTCTGTTTCCATAATGCTTTAAAAACAATTCCTATGCAACCTAAGTTTTGGAAATATGCTTCTTTTAGAAATAGAATTGTACTCTGCATATACTCAGAAGCAATATGTTTTCCATCTATTTCAAAAAAAACAGCTGAAGCTAATTCCTTTCACAAAGGACTGGAACTCTGCACATGTTCATGGACATGTTGCCTTTAGGTATTGGGAGCATTCATTCAGCCTGAGGAAGAATTCTGGGTCTTTTCAGCACATTTTTGCAATGCTGCATTCAAGCACCCATTCATGCCCAAACTTCCTAGAAAAATGTATGTTAAGTAGTTATAGGCTGCAGGGATATTTTTAAATTGTCCTTAACTGCTGTGTATAGAAGGACATCACTCATAATCATTCTTATTTTTATCATCTATGCAGCCTTAGAATCAAATGATCCTCGGGGCAGTTTCACATGGCTGCTGGTCAGGAATGCTGGGAAGTGTAGTCCAAAACATCTGGGTAGGTCACCAGATTGTGGAAGGCTGCAATAAACTGTAATAACACAAGTGCACACACAACACATGTGACGCTTTCATCCGTGGATGAGGCCAAAACAGTGGTACATTCTGAACTGCAGCTCCTCGTTACAATGGCCCCCCAAACCAGCTCTAGCTGTTTTCATCTCCGTGAGGCACCAGCCTTTAATAAACCTTAATTGCTGGTTCGAGACTAAGCCACATTGTAACAGGGGCAGCTCATAGCAATTTTTTAGTGTAGCTGTGAAAATCCCCCCCTCCCAAAAACTCCAGGCATGCACTACCGTGAAGATGGCAGTGGCAGACGGCACCCTCGGTGCTGCTCATCAAGAAGCCCTGGGGCATCCGGGCTGCACACCCTGCCACAGCTGCAGCCCGGGGCCAGGGGGTGCTTGCCTTCCGACCCCCAGTCTGAGGGCAGGTGGCAATGGGAGCCAAGTCTAATTTCTGGTGAGGGGCAGGGTGGGGAGCAGGCCAACAGAGCCCAGTATTCTTCCTGGTGGGAGTAGCAAAGCTCCTCCACCTTCACCAAGCCAAGATGCCCTTCCCCAGAGACAAAGGAGTCAATCTTCCATGTGTCCTTCCTCCCTGTGCCCTGAGGTTTCCGATTCATGTTTCTGTTTTGAAAACCATGCTAGTTCCACCCGTCCTCTTTGCATGAACCCGCCCAGGAGCTGCTTGCTTCTTGAAAACCCTTTTCCTCAGCTGGACTCCCGGGCTGCTGCAGCTGCATCCCAAGTCCCCAGATTTCTGAGCTTTGCCATCCTAGGTAAACTTTCTTTTAAAAGCACCACACCCTGTCCTGCAGGTTCAAACAGCATCAACCATTTTCTCCAGAAATGATGCTGATGTTTAAAACAACAACCAACCCTCAAGCAGAAATGCTTTTGTTGTATTTTTAACCTGTTCAGGAACTCAAGTGCTGTACAATACACTCAAGACAGAAAATGCCAACTTAAGAAAAACAGCCCAGACTAAAGTTAGAATCAGCTGCAAAGAATAAAACCACCTTAGTACATAAAGCCAGACTAAGATCAGCAGTAAAGGAGCACTGAAAGCAAATGCCTGAAAAAATACACAGGTCTTCTCCAGGGGCCTGAAAGACTATGGTGTAGGTGAGTCCCTCTGAAGAGAGTATGCCACAAGGTGCCACCACAGAAAAGACCCTTTCTTCCCTCATTTGGCAAGGGCGCCTGGGGGAAGACCTCCAGTAACGATGATAATGCATATACAGAATGCATACCCTGCATAGACATACTCTGAGGTATGTAAAGAACTTCATGCATGTTTTTGCAGTAGTCCTTCCACCAGCCCTTTGAAGTGGTGGATTTAGTGTTATGACCGCCGTATTTCAGGTGAATGAAGGGGCTGAAAGAAAGACTGCAGACAGGCCAAGGCTACCAGAGAGTTCACACTGAACGTGGGATTTGTGCTGTGGGCTTGTGCAGCTTGAGCCTAGGCATGTCTGCTCAGAAATCAGCCTGGTTAATGGTCGTGCCCTCGCGGAAAGTGCGTGGGCTGGCAGTCTTAGCCGTAAAAGCACATCACAGGCCTGGATCTGCCCTCCCAACCTGATCACACCGGTTGATGGTCCTCAACTCTCCTGCTAGCTTGGCTTGCTTGCTTTTTAAGCCGTGTTTATGCCTGCCTGCAGTTTTCCTCAGAGACAGTGTGGTGTAGTAGTTACAGCAGACGGCCCTTAGGTAGTGGGGGCAACTGGATTCTCATCTCTGTTCAACCACAAAGCTCACTGGGCAACTTGGGCCAGCTTAAGCTGCCCTGCAGGGCTCTTGGGAAGATAAAATGGGAGTTGGACCACCAGGAAGGGCGGGATAACAAATGTCAGGCATTGTCTGTTATTTTCTCTCCTTGCCCAGCCAGGTCCCAAGGCAAAACCGCATTCCTTGCAATGTGATCTCATTTGCTGGTAACCAAAGCAACAGGGGAGCTTAGGCAGGGAGGGAGGATCTGAGGAAGCAGACGGCTGCGGCGGCCCTGTTGCGGAGTTTGGGGAGGGGGAGTTAATGGAACAAAATGTTACAGCTCTTCTCTCTCAAGAGCACCATTTGGTTTGGGGGAGGTGGCCTGGGGGGTGTGGAAACGGGGGGGGGCAGCCGGGAGTAGGAGCTTTTGAGGCAGGAGGCTTCTGGTTCAAATCTTGCTTCGTTTTAGGCAAGCTGCTGCAGTCTCTCAGCCCTTGCTGCTTTCCCCACACCCACCCGGGATATGGACAGAGCTGGGGGGGGGGGGATAACACCACCCTACCTGTAAGGGTGGTTGTAAGGATCTCACTTGCAACTTGAGAGGCATTTTGCACTGGCAGTTGTAATTCAAGTTTATGATTGTGATGTAGCCCTTCTTCCTGGGACAAAAACAGCTGGAGGTCGTCAGGACACCAGCATCAAACCAGAGCTTTGCTGGAGCCCTGGAGCCTACTTCCAAGGCCAGGCCCAAGTCCCAGAATAAATGAAATGCTGAGGAAGCAGAGTCCCTCTGGGCATCTGTAGAGGCTTTTCTCTCAAAGGATTAGGCCCAGTGATGCCCACACGCTTCCGGGTGGATCTGAGCCCTGCAACGCTTCCCTTGAGGAACCAGTTAGTGGCTCTCAGTCTCATCTTGTTTAGAGCTGGATGGCGTGTATCTCCTCATGTGTCTCCTTGTGCATCACCTGATATTTTGCCTTGGGGGTCTGTGGGCTGGGAAGCGGCTGGGCTGGGTACCTGTGAGGAAGCAGGTACCCAGTGAGCTTGCCTGCCCCAGGCAGGAGGGATGCCGGTGGGGGTGGGATCGGTCCACGGCCCCCTCCATTCGTGCCCTGGCATCTCCAGGGCGCGCTCCCTCATGGGTCCCGTGCCAACCAGCTGTCGCCGCCCGGTTGAATGTGGGCCACTTCTGAAAATACGCCTTGCCCGCCTCTTGCCTGCCTGCGGTCTCGTCGCCTCAAGGGCGAGGGGATTTGTTTCACTGAGGCACGACCAGCAGCGGCATCGAGGCGTCTGGCCAAGCCGGGCCGACTGTGTGCGGTGGGGCGGGGGCCACGCAGGCTCCTTCCACTCCTCCTCTGCTTCCAGAAAGGTCTGCTGTCCGGTCAGGCCGCGGGAATGCTCTTGGTGTGGGTTAAGCCCTTCCCCTTGCTCCCTCCCTCCCGCCCGCCTGCCCCAGTTCTCTGGGGACACTGCCAATGAACTGGGATTCAGGCCAGGGCTGGAGCAGCGTCTGATCAAACCAGAATAGGGGGCAGCTCCCCCAGGCCTGAAGAGGGCCCTAGTGCCAAGCGGGGGGTTTAACAGGAGTGCCATGGTAAGGTCAGCTCGGATGGCTGTCAGCCTTAAGCATGAGGTGGGGACAACAGGACAAGTTGTGCTTAGCCCTCAGTTCTGATCTTCCTTGGAAACAAGCATGTGGGAGGCAGGACGGCAGTCCAAAAAGGGGGGAACTCTGCTTTCTGCTCCCCAAATTCCTCTGGTTTGACATGGATCACCACCCAAAGTGCTGCATTCAGCAGAAACCTGAAGCCACTGATTAAAACTGCACCATGGCTGAGACTTCTGGGCCTCAATCATCCCCATCTGCAAAATGGGGATAAAACTACCGACCTAACATAAGGAGCTGTTCCTGAGGACAGCTGAGAAATCTCACGACACTAACTTCCTATATGATGGGAACTGGAGTCCAAAAGCTGGATACCTCACTCCTGGAACAGACAGAAGTGACTGCCAGACTGAGCGTTTCTCTCAGGAGTTGGCTTGAAATGAGGGCAGGGTGTTGCAGCTGTGCGAATTGCTGAGTAACAGATGCCGCGGCGTCTAGATAGGGTGCAGGAGTGCCTGTTTGCCTCCATGCATGTTCTATTCTTATTTATAAAATAAACATTTAAAGTTCAAAATCCACAGTTGAGCAATATTAGAACCAACCCAAATTCCATAGCAAAGAGCGCTCTTTCCAGTTCTTCAGAATTCTAAGGATTGCAGATTCGTGCAGAATTGGGTTGGTTCTAACAAAGGTTTTGCCCAGTTATGGATCTGGGATTTTGAAAATGTGCTGAAAATAGCACTGCTCTGGAATTTGTCACCTGGAAAAGGAAAATATCTGCAACACTATATACACTGATGTGGGACTTTGGACACTGGATTGAACCAGGAGGGCCCTGCGGGTGAGCTTGGGCCGTTTCGGGATTCTCTCACTCAGGGCCAGCTTAACCCACTCCACAGGGCAGTTGAGAAGATAAAATGGAGGGTGCACCGTGCATGCTCCTTTGAAAGCCAGGCTATAAATGTCATGTGACGTTTAACGGTCAGTCTTCATGGAAGTCAGAGATGATGGTTCTCTTCTCCGTCCCCCCAGGTGGCCATGGTGGAGGTGCAGCTTGAAGATTATGACTACCCCCAGGAGCTCCTCGTGGCCTTCAGCGCCTGCACCACAGTGCTGGTGGCCGTCCACCTCTTTGCCCTCATGGTGAGCACGTGCATCCTGCCCCACATCGAGGCCGTCAGCAACATCCACAATCTCAACTCGGTCAACGAGTCTCCTCATGAGCGCATGCACCACTACATTGAGCTGGCCTGGGGGTTCTCCACGGCCCTGGGCATCTTCCTCTTCCTGACCGAGGTGGTGCTGATCTGCTGGGTCAAATTTATGCCCATCAGGGGCACCTCCCCGGCCCAGAGGTGCTGTGCCCCTGTGCCGGTCCCCTCCGGTAACGACACCACCGCGGCCCCTCCGGAGGGCGCTGGCTGGAACGCGGCCATGGCGTCCACGGCCATCATGGTCCCGGTTGGCGTGGTCTTTGTGATCTTCGCCTTGCACTTCTACCGGTCCCTGGTAGGACACAAAACAGACCGGCACCAGCAAGAGCTGGAGGAGCTCCACCAGATCAAGTACCAGCTGGATGGAGAAGCTACAGCGCTGCAGGTGGTGTGAGGTTTGGGGGTCGTGCAGGGACAGGCTCAAGTCGCTGGAAGCTGCTGTTTCTCGCGGGAAAGACGGCCGGCCATCTTGCTTGTATCCTGGCGGTGAGGGAACCAGCTCAGTTGGAATGTAACCAAAAAGCCACTGGGACCTTTTTGAAGGTCCCCCGCTTCCCCACTCAGCATCTTAACAAATTCACTTGTGCGTCCCTGAAAATGAATGGAAGGAAGGGTTGTTAAACACAGAAGCTTTTGCTGATCTGGAACTGTTCCTGGAAGTGAGCAGCCCAAGCCCACACTTGATCCGCCCTGTCAGCTGATAGATGCAAGGAACTTTGGCTTGGAGCTGCTTCTAAGAAGAGGGATGGCATTTGTCCCCCAAGAGGAGGGACAGTGGCTTTGCTTTAATTGGGTGCAATTTGTTTCCTGTTTGCCTCTTCATGAAAAACAGGAGCAGGGAGTCCTCAGGTATTTTAGTCACAGGAGCTAAAGGTGGAGGTGGAAGGTGAGTGGCTTCGGAAAAGCATAACCAGCCACTTAATCCTGCCTTTTTGCTGCCCCAAACCCCCAAATATCATAAAATGGGACAAGGCTATGCCAACCATCATCTGTGGAGCTCCCTGCCCTCTCCTTAATGGGCTGTTGAGGAAGCTGGGATGCAAACCAGCACTGGCCTGAGTCTGGGGGTAGTCCAGCGAGCTGTGGGGCCGAGGCCCAGGCCACAGTGAGGGCTCTGCCAAGTCAGTCACTGGGACGCCAGGCAGAATGAAGCTTCCAGGTGGGCTGGGCCTGATGGAAATGCCAGTCCTGCCTTGGCACGGCCAACAGAGCAACACCTTCTGCCTGCTGCACTCGGAGCTCCGGTTCTGGGTCGGCCAGTTCTGGCCTGCGGGGACCTGAGTTACGGCCCAGGTGGATGGCATGGGACCAGCATTCATAGGATTGCCCCATTCAGGGGAAGACGTGCAGGGGTCCTGCACTAACATGAAGAAAGCGCACATGGGGAAGGAATGCCAGACTTTTCTCAGGGCTGGCTTTCCTGCAGCCAGTTGTCCCAGTTATCAGAAAATAAGCTAGGAATGGATAACAGGGAGGGGTGGAGTCAATGTCTTGTCCCTGTGAAGATCCCCTCCACTCCACTCCAGGAGTGGAGCCTGGAGAGAGTTGTCTGTCTTCCAAGAACCACACACTTGGGCTGCAGTGGGCCCAGCTGCTTCTTCTCAATGGCCCTCCGCAACAGGTCCCTTGCAGCCCCCACAGAAGCTCTCTGCAGCGGTGCCCATAGGAACCCCAGATTTTTTTTTTCATTTTTCCCAGCTTGTTTTAATATCCATACATGCATTTAACAATAATTTTCTAGCAACTGTGCACAGGCTTGTACAAAAGTAGACCAAATACTCAAATAAGTATCCACTTGAAGGTGGCATCTTCCTGTTAGGTCCTTGACACATTGCATAGAAGGTGGTGAATATATTCTTCCAATTTCATAATATCAATCTTTTAGCTCTTGAGAGATTGCAAAGATCCAATTCCTCCTCCCACTTGTTAATTCCATGAGGCAGGTAAATAATTTGGAAGAGGATATATTCCAGTGGATGTTAAAGATTGTTTTGGTACAAAATTGACTTGTAATAACCACCTCCCAAAAAGAAGCAACAACTGAACAATGCCAATTCCTGTGTTATGAAAGAGCAATAGTTGAATCACACTGCCTGCAATTAGCTAAATTAGTCGATCCCTTCTTAAAGAAACATTGCAACATCCAGTAGACATGAAAGGTTTTGCTGCAGCCCACGATCAAGAGCTGACCGACACGGAAGCAGTGAACCACAGACTGGGCATGCTATGGTGGTGTGCACAGGAGTTTCTGAAGTTCCCACATGGGTCCAAAAAGGCTGGGGACCCTGACAGCTCTGCAGCATCTGATTGCCGAGTTTCAGAGTCTTTGATGCTTCTGAACTGGCTGGCCTCTTGTGCAAGATGAGGAAGGAAACGGAGCACTTCACGTTTCCTGGCAACGGCAGAGCATTGGTACAAAAGCCTGCACAGCGGTTGCTAGGTGATAGCAATGTCTTCTCTTCCTCCTCTGACCAACCCCTCCACTGGGGGCCATGGCAGCAATGGGGCAGCCTGGCTTACGGCCACAGAAAAGGGGAATGTGTCCTTTTGGTGCAGTAGGGACAGGCGCGCGCACACCCTGTTGCTGGTCAGGGCAGCGGATGGATTCCTAGAGGCAGTCTTGGTTTTCTTAGATCAAGCAAAGGGATGCTTGAAGGATGACTCATGGTCTCAGCCTTGTCAAAGACCGATGCCTTTTCTCTATAGAAGGACAGTTCATTCTTAGCTGTCAAGCTTGACGGGAAATGGTATATTTTTGTTGGATCGGGAGAAGGCAGAGTGGGTAAATATCAGCATCCGAGCCGTGTGCAGCTGTGGGTGCTCTTTTCTGCTGCTGCTGCTGCGATTACTTTTAATCTCTGGCATTGATCTGAGACGCCCCTTGCACAAAAGCATCCAGATGGGGTGGGGGGATACCCAACATCCTGAGATCTGCCTTGTTTATGGGGCCAGGGAGCACAATGGTGCATGAGCCTAGGACGTGAGCTTCTGGCCAAGGTGCCTCCACGCCCTTGCACTGCCTTCCCCAGCCCTGCACCCAACCGGGCATGCAGGCATGAGGGGCCTGTTACTCTGACTTGGGATACTGAACGCGCTCTGTGGTCTCATTGAGAGTGACAGGCAAGGGGTTAGAGGGAGACTGTATGAAGCCAGATAATCTGGGGCGTGTGGTCTGTGCTTATGACACTTGCTGTCCTCCACCTCCCCATGGAGCCCCTGTTCACAGAGACCAACAGGAAGGCCAGACCGCAGCAGGGACAGTCAACAAGTTTGGCCTCCCCTGCAAAGTTGTCTCCAAGCTGATGTCTTGGCTGTTATCTGTAGCAGCAAACGAGTAACGGAGACACCTTTGTGGTGGAAGTTAACCTTGCCCTTTGTGATCCTGAAAGCTGGAGCAGGGGCGCAGCCACCGCCCACCCCCATGACTGAGAGTCACTGACGACGGAAGCAGGGCCCCCTCTGTGTTGCCACCCCTGGGTCAATGCTTTCCACATCCGGGTGTCCCTCTGCTGCAGCTCTCAGCATTGCTGACCGTGGGTTAAGCTCGCTGGAGCTGATGGGCAAGGAAGTCTGGAAGGCTCCCACTTGAGCAAGGGCTGGTTCTGCTGCTTTGGGGTCAAGCTCAAGCATGACAAAGATAGCACGTTAGAGAGAGATACCATATGGGATGTTGGCTATCTGGTAAAACAGCTGTAAGCTGTTTCCGGAACAGTTTAGGGGGGGTGCAGCAAGGGGAGGAAGAAGGGGAGCTGTCCTGTGCTTTCTTCCCCAGCTATTCGTGTGTAAAATTGTACTTCCTCTCAGCTGCTTTTCTCCCCTAAGAATGACAAGAGACGCAGGAACCTGCATCTTCTCTCTCTGGGAGGAAAGTAGTTTGGGACCATGGCGTAGGGGCAGCACTAAAAAGAGATTCTGAATTACAAATGAGGAGGAAAAAAGTTACAAACCGCCCCCCAGTGTGTTCTCTGCTCACTTGCAGATGTTTGTGTGATGAAGGAACATCTTAGGGATCCAGCGGGGGTAGGGGAAAGAAACACGGAATTCCACGTATGATAAAGTTGGTTCGTGTCCCACGAGACCTGCTAATGTCATTTCATGCTGTGCTGATGTACAGCCGCTCAGCAGAGGAGAAAAAGATGCATAAAATCAATGCTGATCGGGGATGTTGCTGACTCTTTCTTGAAGTGCAGCAGCTGCTGAAAATTCAATACAGTCTGCTATCAAGCAGCGCTGACATTTCTCTCTTAAACAAAAAATAGATCGTATCAACTCACTGTTAGCCACACCAGCTCAATAGCTTGTATGCCTCAGGACAGACATTGTCTTGGCTTTTAAAAATGTTTTCATTCTCACGGGAGCTGTTTTAGTTTACAAGTTAACCAGCATGGGGCTTGGACTTTCACACAAGACACCGATGGTACGCACTTGACCATGTATTTCTGGGCATGCTCTCTGCTGCTCAAGTAGGAGAGCTCAGGTTCTGGCACTTTTTATTCTGTATATTTTTAAAATAAAATGTGTTTTTTAAAGAAACTAAAAGCTGTCCAAATGAAATTGCTGAAAAGCACAGAGGGCTTTCCAGACTTGTGTTTGGTCTTCATGTTCATCCCCAGGTTATTGCAGGGTTCTTCATGAGTCTATATCACTACCAATGTATATTGAAATGCATCCTTGCCTGTGAAAAGCTAGCATGTAGAAGGGTTCTCTAGCCTAGCCTTTGCCCCAGCATGCCTGCTTCTATATGCAAGGACAGTATTATACCTGGGATGCATTCACCCTGTGGTACAGTCCAAACAGGACATCAGCCAGACATAGGCCACGTTTCTGCTTCTGTTCTCAAGCTTTCATAGTTTTAGGACACCGCTAATTGTAGTAAAATATTTGGTTCTTTACTACATGCGCTGCACAGGATGGAGTATTTCAGTGTTGAATTTATTGCTACAGTAAGCTGCTGCTGCTGTTTTTAAGATGGTTGGACAATTGATATAGTTTCTGAGACACCTGTGGTGTTTCATTTAGGCAAGGTCTGGAATCTGGTGTTTAAAACTAGGTTCCTTGCTTATTCCATCATATATGGATTGATTTTAGACTGATTTGGTGTAGTACAGGTTTCAGGAATGTGTGGTCTTTCATGGACTGCAACTCCCACCATGCCTTGCCTTTGACTTGCTGAGTAGGGCTAATGGGAGTTGTCAATCAAGATGTGGAGGGTCGCATGTTGTCCGTCCCTGGTGCGAGCGATTCAAGCTCTGTGCTTGATGAATGTGACTGTACTTGATCAAGTGTTATGTGACTCCAAAGCCTGCATGTCTTAATATTTACCTATTATATGTGTGTTAGAGAAGGGGGTGTTTTGTCCTTTTAAAGAAGTCAAAGAAATAATGGGAGACTGTTACATGGTTTGCTTCATCTCCGCACCTTTCTTAGACATTTATATTTAGAGATGTGCTAATAATCTAACCAGTTCTTACTGGCTATCTATTTTTAATAGCCCCATAGTTTTATGTAGTGCTGTATGGTTTTTAAACATCACCTTCCCCTGCCCCACTGCAGCTGTTGCAGCTCTGTTTTTTCCTGTGAGCCCCATTTTGGCCAACTTCTCCTTTCTAGGGAAATCCAGTCTGTTTCTACGCTTGCCATAGAAGGAAGGGGTTGAAGATGTAGAACGGTGTGCACTACTTCAAACTGCTGGCGGGAGGGAGGGAGGTGGCTTCTTATCTTTTTAATGCACCTCCTCCATGTAAAAATTACCTGCAAACAGAAGCTTTCCACTTGGGGGTGGAAGGCTGCACCTTCACTCATTTACCAGCCTTGGTGATTTTCTAATTCCAAGGGCATTCAACATAGTGGAGCATTAAAAAAAACCGATCCTCCCATTCCCTACAGTCTGAAATGGTACCCATCCATTCTGCTTCCAAAGTTATTTACTACCGAACACCCGCCCCTGCTTAAATCCAATGGGCTACAATTCACATCATCCCCATCCCCTCGGTTGATGGAGGTTGTAGTCCAACACATCTGGAAGGCAGCAGAATTGGAAAGGCTCTGTCACCGATATCCTGCTGCAGGTTTAGGAGACAGACACTATGCGATCCTCTGTATGTATATTCAGAAATATGGACTGCCGCAGTCAATGGGACAAGTGCACACAGAACTCCTAAGCAAGTACACACAGAATTAATCCCACGGAGATGGAGAGAACATGGCAGTCGCCATCCAGTTCAGCTCACTAATGTGATGGGCCCTGAGCATAAATCATCTCTCTGGATGGAGGCCTTAAGAAAAAATAATGGGAAATTTGTTGCGAGTCATCCTATGAAGGTAACTTGAATGCGGGGCTGCGTATCGCACACACAGACATGTGTCACTTCACTGCCTGCTTGCGTGGTCTCCTGACGACTCCTGCCAAATGCATTACACTGAAAAATGGAGTTTCCTCAGAGAGACAACATGAGGGGGCTGGGCCAGGGGAGGCAAATCGGACTGCAGGAGGACAGTCTGCCAGCGAGGAGGCACTCCTGCACGGATGCCGTGGAAAGGCAGGGGCGCCACGGGAATGTACTACACTTCCATCTGCCTGTCCTCCAAGGAGCTCAGATGAGACAAGGCTCTTTTCTCCAGTCCTCATTTAACCATCACAGCAACCCCGTGAGAGCTTAAACTGAGCACGAGCAACAGTTCCTGGGGCAGGGAGAGCCTCTCGCCCGGGAAGGGATTTGAACATGGCTCTCCTCAGCTCTAGCCTGACACTCCAGAGCAAAGGTGGGGAGTGCATGGTTTGCCAGACATTGGACCAGCATGCCCATCATCCATGACCACTGGCCTTCCTGGCTAAGGCTGATGGAGGCTGCAGCCGAGCAGTGTCTGGTGGGCCACGTGTTCTCCTCCTCCTGCCAGTTCCTCTGGGGTGCTGCTTGGATCTCCCAAGTCCCCGGATGCCTTTTGTCAGTTGGCCCTGGCTCATCTTGACCCATTCTGGGCCTTGTTTGGGAACAGTGGTGTTTCTCTCCCCCGCGCGGCCTTGGAAACTCATCCCGCAGTGCGCTCACGTTCTCCCCCCCCCCCCATCTCCTCACCTCCCCTTCTGGACACAGCTCAGCTACATATAATCCCTTTCTGGCTTTGGCCACCCTCCAAGGCTGGTGAAATGTTTACGCTGTCTGAGAATACTCATGGTCCCAGCTGGGGAGAAGCCAAGGAGGCCTGGGAAACGGGGAGAGAAAAGGTCAAGGGCAGCTCTGGCCGAGGCGGGCGGCTCAGGAGCACTCCAGGCTGGATGGCTGCGAGAATATGGACGGAAAGGAGCTCATGCTCCTCACTACACTCCCAGTTTCCACACCCTCTGGCTTTGAACATGGAAACTTGGTGCACTTGTCTTAGCCCTCACAGGTTGGAAGCACTGCCCTCTGTTCTGGTTCTGGAGCACATGAGAGATGCAGAACCACAGGTCTGTGGGCCAAATTCAGCTCAGCTGGTTTCCCAGATGGCCAGGCCCCTTCCCTTGCCCTAACCTCCCTTTTCTCCATCTGCAGGGTATGCCCATGATCTCCTGCCATCTTTTATGCAGGCCTTTCACATTTAAAGCTTCTTCTGAGGCTTACTTAATAGCAGTAAGAGCTTTATGCTAAAATATGCTGGGATATTTACAATTTTCATCTCGTATCCCTTTTGCCTCAAGCCCCAGCACGAATGTGAGCTCCAACTGCATCCTGAAAGGGAGTTCTCTGCCCCCACCCCAGACGTTTTGGGATTCTTTGGGGCTACTCAGGAGGGAGAGGACAAAAGTGCATTTTGCAATGTCTACAAGCACATACTTTGCTCTCAGTGAAGCCTGCAGGTGTAGCTAAATAGTCATTAAAGGTAAAGCATAGTAAGATGGATTGCCCTTGAATAACGAGGATCGAGAAATTCCTAGAGAGAGCCCTGCACATATCTATGTAGGCATGCAACCTGGTTGTTGGCAGACGATCTGTGCCAAAGCTCCCATAGTACCTTGGCCATGCTGGATGGGTCGTATGATCATGTAGCCTAATCAGGTCGGTCTACCCCACAGATTAAGACCATGGGGACCAGGGTTTCAGCCAAGAAGCTCCCACTGGATGACTTTGCGCCGCTTTCTCCCTCCCTCTGATGGGTGAAATGGATTGATGCGGTATGTGGGAGAGTACTGCATGCATTGCCCTCAGTGGAGGGCAGGGTAGAAATGTAGTTAAATACACGTTAGAGTAGGGTAGGCAATATGAGACCAGGTGAAATGCAGGCAATATGAGACCAGAGGAAAGCTGGCAACCTCTGGCAAAGGGACAGAAGCCAAAACAGTCTGCCAGAATCTCCCCTACCCTGCTTACATGTCAACTGTAAGGATAAAAAGCCAGCATTTAATTTTAGACCTCAGCATATGCTGCCATCTGGTGGAAAGCAAAATTAATACTCTCTTGCACATCCTTCCCTAGCTCAAAGCTGCTTAATAAAAAGAGAAGAAACCCTTGTGCTCAAAGAGGGGTGACTGTCTTAAGTTGTAAGTCCGTAAGCACACGTTTGAGTTATAGACAATTCTTTCTCCAGCTTGGATGTTTTGAGTTTGCATGGACAAATCCTTTTAAATAATGGTGAATTTTTAGCCAGCTATTGAGAACTATAAATACGCTGTATCAATTCTCAGTTCTTATTTTAGTCCAGTGCTTACCCTCCCTGTTCTTAAGGGACCAGGATAGAAGGAATCCTACAAAAACAGAACACTCAGCCTACAAATTAACACAATTATGCCCCACCTCCTTATGCTTGACTGTGGCATGCAGGTCCAAACAGGAAGTATCACAACATTTCCTAAAGATACTTAAGATTTCTGATATACCAAAAGTCTACCTGCAACAAGGTAGGAAGATGGAACTAAACATTCTAATTCACTGATAGAAAGCAATGAAAAATTTAAAACAGAAAGAAAAGAGGCATAGAAACATTCTAAAATTAACCGGTCTGAATCCCTTACGTTTGAAATTCTAAACCAATGTCAGAATTCAGAATACTATCCATTTTTTGGGACACTGGTGGATTTCAAATGGTCATTATCAGACTTCACATCAAAAGTGGTTCAGCTTTAGTGAATAATACACATTTCAAGAGATTTTTGGATTTTCAACTCCAAATTGTGAAATATTGCTGTGGTTTTTGAGAGATTTACAGCAGGACATTTTTCAAATATCACTGAATGTAAAACTGCATACCAAAGTTTGATTATCTGGGAGCATGTACTCCCACCTCTCCCCCACCCCAAAAACCCCTTCTGCACAAGAGATTGTTCTCCACAGCTGGAAAAATTACAAATACTAGACTGCTTCTCCCTCTTGCTGGGAGGCTTCAAATTTTCCAGCCCTTCCAGAGACAAACCAGCAAATGAAAAATATGTAGTGCACTTGCCCAGGTTTAAACTCCTTTGAAAGGCAGTCACTTGAGGTGTACTGGCACTCTCTAATACTTGGTTTATTTACAAATAATCTGGGTTGAACAAACGGATGGAGGAACCACACTGTCTAAACGCT